GGCAGTGAAGCATCAGTGGCAACACTGGTGTTGCCGTCTTTGATGATGATGATGATGATGACTTCATGGCTCAGTTTTAGTGTATCCTGGGACCCAGTAATGGCCAATCCATGACCCAATAAAGAAAGTATAACCACCAAATTTAATCGTTTCGCCGATTGTGTCGGTTTAACCACATTTATTTTGAATTACTGGCACATTGGTATGTACACCATTTGACAGATTAACATTTGATTTCTATGAATCCGTGCCAGTGATCAAATGGTTTCACCTGCCTGTGAGTTTTACCCATTCAAACAAGTGTATGTTCGCTTCAGCAAATACGAATGTTGGGCATATGTGTGTGCCCAAATGCAGACACACCAGTCAGCTGTGTGTGTATGTACACATGTAAGCCATCGTCATTGATCCATTTTTCTGGTACAAGGATTCATTAATTCAGCGTCCACCGTTCATTTTCACTGGTGGAGGCGGACTTAGCCCACGCGACAATAGCTTCTCATGACTGCATCACTAACACACATGTGTCCGTTCGTTTTCACTCAAATTTACTATTCCACTTCTAGTACAGTTCCCCCTCTTGTGGTTGCAGGACCTTTTCCGTTGTAATTCATCTTATAGAACTGTACACGGAACATGTTCTACTAACCGACATTATTGCGTCACTTTCATCCTCAGTACAGTACAGTCATATCTAATCATTGATACCCCTAACGCTTTCTCTACAAGCCCAATGAGCCGGCCATTCACTTAAATTAGTTGGTAATTTAGCATACGCCGAATACTTTACGATCTTTTGCAATGATTCCCATTTTTAGCTCCTACAAACCAACTCAAAATTCCTATCTTTTCACGCTCATCCTGCAAATATGTTTTCAGTAAGGGTGGAAAACATGCGGTAGCTTGATACATCGGTTCTGTTGCTATTTCGGAATGCCTGTTTCCCCATTGCTCGTTCGGACTGGCCCGGTCGGCAGAGACTTTCTTATGTTCAAATACTAGCATAACCCAGACTGAGAGATACTGGTTACGTCGTGCAGTCACTCACATCTCGTCAGAGCTCTGAAGGCAGTCACAGACAGTTGACTTTTCGTTAGCTCAACGCACTAGGCTTCGATCCTCAGCAGTCTCTTCCATCTGTAAAATAATCTCGAATCCTTCGGTGGTGTTTCCTGGTCCCTGGGGATAGGATAACCATTCTATGCTACATATTGGCTTTGAACCTGATTTGCTTTACCTTCTCCCTACCCAGATATAATTCGTCGTCGCCTGGGACCAAGCGCTTTGGCCAGTGTGAATCAATATCGCCTGACAGCCTGGCTCAGCCACCAGGAGGATTCACATCGCATCGTTTTCTTTGTATGTGACTACACTCGGACGTCTGCTTGGAATCGCCTATGTATCCGACAGGCAGACTGTGTGCTCGTCTTGGCCCTGGGTAACTCAGACCCATCCCGGATTTCACCCATCGAATTGACTCTGCGAAATCACCCCACTAAGGTAGATCCTGTTGTTAACTTTTGCATTCCGTTCATCCCACCTTGTCTGACAGAAAACGCACACGTACGTCTATTCACCTTTGAGAACATCGACTTGTAACAAACGCTCCTGAGCTTCCAAAATGTTCCTCCGCGCCTTCATATCCAACCGTCCTCTACACGTCTCTATGTTGACGACTCAATTCCGCTGTCGTGTAGCGCTGTGATCTCGAATGGAAATGTCCAGTTAGACGGCACAGTGAGAAAGTAAACAACACCCTGAATCGCGAATTGAGCGTATGTTGGAAGTTTCTTGGTATCCATCCTAATGGGTCATAATTTTTGTCTGGCGTCGTACGGCATGGTCCGGACGTAGATGTGCCTACCCAGTTCTTCCATTAGCCACCTCAGAACAATATTCTAAAATTAGTCCCTCATAAAACACTGGTTTATTGTGTTCATATATGCGGGATCAAATTCTATTTGAGTCTTATTACGCGTGGTGAAATTCGTTTGTCCGTTCTCTAGGTATTAACTTTTATGTAAAAGAAGTGTCGACGAGCGACCAAAGTGAGTTGCCTCTGCGGACCTAGATTAAAGTTGCTTTGAATGAGGGTGGAGAATTTTCCCGTTGGTCTTTTTGTAAATTTATGTTAGGAACTGTAAAATCTGTCTCCGTGAAGAGACGGTAATCCAACCTCCAGTTCGTCCTGAGTTTGTCCAAATTTTGTAAGTGAACACCTGTAGCGAAAGGGACCTTGTTCCTCAGTGATACGCCATCCCAGGCATAGTCCGTTTCCATGCCTCTCCTGAGATTTACATGAGTGTGCAGGCTGATCACTCTGACAGGACCTATTTTCGTGTGACTTCTGTTATTCTTAAGAGTTTTATTCTGGAGCTCCTGGAGACACGTCCGGGTGTCGCAAATTATCCAAGCCTGAATCGCCGCCGCTTTATTTATCCCAACGTTCCAATATCAAAGCCTGTCCTTTCACACCACAATAACAACCAGGCTCAGCACAAGGTGACACGCGATAAAGCCCACCACTGTAGCTAGATTTCTCACACTTCCCATTATCTAATGAATTACGTTTCAGGATTCATTCACTGCTCGTTGTTCCCTCTTTATTGGATCCAATTAACACTCAAGGCTAGTTTGTTGGTCAGGTTGCGTTAACCTCCGTAAAAAGAGCTCACGGATTCTGTGCTTGTTATATTAATTAATAGTCTATTAGTTCGTCCTGGTCAGCGCCATTTCGTTATCCTTTATTGGCGAACACTTAGTTGTTTAAACTTTCAGAAGGCATCCTTCCGATTCTGGAAGTTTGGTTGCGGTGGGGGTTTTCTTGAGGAAGAGTAGTGCAAAATCATTCAGGAGTACAACTAACGGCTGTACTTAGTGCCATTTCAGCTTCATGTTTCATGCGATTGCATGTGAACAAACCTGATTATGAGATCTTGTGAAATAAGTCGTCGACTCGTATTACCTGAAAACTTGCATTAAATTTGCAGTGGGAAACGAACTTTTTTTTAAGCCATGGGTACATCGCAGCTGATAACTATTCGATTTCCATCAATCAGAATTTCTGCCAAGTACGCCTGAAAGGTGGTTGGAGTGCTATACCTACAAGGATCGTAAGTACTGTACAAGCTTTAAGGCACCGTTTGAAAGGAATATTTTCTGTGGGGTTCTCGTGATACTGGTCTATCCCGAGGGGGACAGACGCAATAGGTTGACGTCTGACATTCTACTCATCCTCAGTGATTAATTGAACCGAACTTTTCGCCGTTAATAACAAAGTACCTAATGCCAATTTACTCCAGCGTTTCTGTGAAGGTTTACTGCCTTCGCAGTTCGAAGGTTGTTAGGTTTATTGTCTCATCGATGAAAGTAAATGGTGGTGATGCTCATTTCACTTCGTCTTTGGGATGACGGGATAACATTAGTCGCTTCTGCGCAGCAACACAAGCAATCTATCAAAACGTGTTTCTTGCTCAAAGCTAGAGATCATCAATTTCGACGGCAAAGCTAGATGAAGTAAAGTGCACTGCAAAATCTCCCTAAACTTATGGAAACATCAAAATTGGGTGAACAAAGAGCTCTCATAAGACCTGCTGAAGCCGAAAAACAGCAAGACTCTGCAAAGCAGATGACAAACATTACTGGATTCTCTGACCACCTGTTTTCCTCCCTATTTCACAAACAACAGCATTTCCTTCCTTTCCTTTCGTCTTCTCTGCTTACTACCTTGTTTTCATGTCACAAACACCCTTCTACGTTTTTCTGCTTTCACAGAAACAAAGCTAAGATAACCCACTCAATGGAATGCACAGATCAGACATTCAACAGATGTACTCCATTCAGGATGGATGAAAGTCTTCTGTTGAATTTGACTCAGTCAGGAAGCTGAAAGTTCTCAGCTCGGATATCCTTCGATCCTTTATAATTAACAAACTTTCAAGTATCCTTTCCATACTCTGTCGCCTTGGTGTGGTTAATTCATGTGAAATGTGCGGAAATCGATTAGGCGGTCCACTGCCTTCAAGACTCCACTCCAAGACACAGGCTGTAGTAACAGAGCAGCCTCGTCCCTGGAAATTCAGGTGTATTGTTTAGGGTTTTCGGGTAGTCCGTTTTCGATCATGATGAGTGGAATTGCGGTTCTAACTTCCAAAACTCTGCAACATAGTCAAATACTCAGTGTGGCCGTAACTCGAATCAGAATGAACTTGGGCTTCCGATTCGTTTAGCCTGGCGATGCTTTTATGTTGTATGCAAAGGTTTTTGATCAACGCGTACTCTACAGAAATTGTACACACAACGGATGCATCCGGATATATTTTTCCGTTCCGGGATTTACCAATCCTTCACCTACCATGTGTTTGGCCGTGTGTAAGGGTACACCTACGCATCGATTTTCCTGTAAGTAAGCGTCAGTGAGGCGGATGTATTTCTCTATTGTCGTATCAAATATTTCGAGTGCTGTTTTTATCTGTGGTCAGCTCATATGTTTGACAGAAGGGCGTTGATTTTGCGAAGACTGTGCACTGAGGCAAGAGCGTTTTTTCCTCGCGTTGTCATCGCGTTCCTTCTGCTGCTCACTGAGTTTCCTTTAGCAACGTTTCTATGGCTTTTTGATATAAATAGTACAGACAGAATGGTAGAAACGCCTAAACAATCTGATACCGGCTTCACCAAGGAATGCGTGGTCCTCATTCATTCAATGCTCACCTTGGACAGCAAGTTGATGGTAAATAAGCTGAACCGTAGATAGGTCCGGGTTTGGGATTTTTAGAGATCCCTTGCACTGGAGAGAGCACTTCATATTCTCTCGTTCACGAGTAGCTCCATCAGCAACCTCATAACGGCTAAGTAATAATGATTTTTGTGTGTAAGGATTCTTTTCATCCCATTACTGTTTATTCGAGTCGCTTTTAATTGCACTCATAAAAATGAACCTTTGTGAAGTTGCAACTTACCCAGAACGGTGCTCTGTGGACAACCGAATTTCAGTTTCGCAGTCTTCGTGCCTCCGTATTGCATGATAACCATAAACCGAAAGGGTCCACAGACGAGCCCTAGCTATTACTGCTGTTATTATCGATTGCGGTCCGCTATCACGATTTTCCAATGATCGCTGGGGTCAATAAATCCTGGTCAGCGTCACAATCTATGGATCTAGCGAATACTGCCAAATTGCTTTGACTGTGCATTTGCACTTAAGCACTCAAACTGTAACCAGTCAACAAACATGTTCCGTCATCTGGATGCCTCAACCAACCAGCGGAGTGACTATTCACTTGTCATCGTAAACCTTGGGCTCAGCTGCCATACAACATTGGACGTCTTGTCTTCAGTTTTCGTAGATACCAGACATGTGTATGTGAGGCTAAGTTGCTTCAGCGAGCAGTTCTTTGCGCCGTCCGGTTATCCAGCTCAATCAAGCTCACTGCCTTTCAATATAAAATCAGTCTCCTTTTGTAGTGTCTGCTTATGCCCCGATGGACTGCAGTTCTCATGCTGAGAATGATACGTTCTATCGAGAGCTATCCGGGCTCATTCGTCAAGCAGGAATTACTGACATTATGATCCTTTTGGGCGGTGTGAATGCACAAGTCGGTCTTCTGAGCTTGCAATCACATTTGGGCGGTTGATTCGGAGTCGATGTTCGTCGCACAGACAATGGAGAGCGACTCCTGCAATTGTGGGCTGATCATCAACTGTTTCTGCTCAGTAAGAACTTTCAGCATAAACGTTTGCAGTTGTGGGCTGATCAACTGTTTCGCTCAGTACGAACTTTCAGCATAAACGTTTGCATCGCGTAGCCTGGTGGCCACTGACTGCGAATCGACCGTAGACCCAGTTAGATCACACGGCCATCAGCTCCAGTTCAAGACTGCCGTTCCTCCTGGGACACACAACTCGATTCCGATCACACCATGGCGCGTACATACCTGACAGTTTGTTTGCCATCACGTCCTTGCAAGTCAGCAAGAACCGTGCCAGTCTACAGTCTTCGAAGAATTAACATGGCTCAACAGTGTCGATCTGAGCTAACCCAACTTATTAAACCAATACTGTACTGGTAGTGAGCACGTGGGTGAAGCATGGCAAAATTTGAAAAGAGCTATTCTAGCGGCGTTCAGTGCCGTTTCTCCGACTTCTCCGATTCGACCACAAGACCATTGGGTGTCGCTGAGATCGCTGTGCGTGACTGATGCCAGGAAATCCATACTAGCTGGCAACAAGTTCGACGGCACGCGCGAATCCCTCAAAGGTGAAATAGTGAAGAGCCTAAGGAAAGACCGAAAGCTTTGGTTGACAACGAAAGCTCGGGTGATGGAAAAGGCTTCTGCTACCGGAAACCGCTGTTCTCTGTATCAACAGATACCATCTACGGGCTCTGGGAGAGTAGCGATCAGTGAAACTATAAGTGAAAAAGATGGTTTATTAATTCACTCGCAGAACCGTCGACTGTAAAGATGGATCGAACACTTCGAAGAACAGTTAACTGGCTTCCTGCCACCCAGCCTGTGGAGAAAGTGCATACGGGTGAATGGAATGTAAACCTTAATCGTCCCCCGGGAAGAAAAAATAAAGTACGAACTGTTCGTACTGAAACGTGAGAAGGCACCAAGACCATGCGATCTGTATCCAACACTCCTCAAAGGTGGCGGAGAATCCCTGGTTACCCATCTGTCAAAACTCTCTGGTGCGATATGCAATGAAGAGAAAGCGTCTACACGATGGGACACATAAACAATCATCCCTATTGTTAAAAAAGCATACGTGAGTGTTGTGAGAACAATCGTAGCACTAGTCTAGTAGCCGTGGTATCGAAGGTCCTCTCTGGTCTTATCCCTCCAAGGTTGACTGAACACAGGGTAGACAGGTCCATGAAGGTTACACTAGTTTCCATCCTACAAGAGAGTGCATTTTCACCCTCCGACAAATTCTGGAACGACGACAGTGTCTCCAGCAACCAACCGTGTTGGTCAACCTTGACTTAACTCTTGACTCTAACTCTGTGAACCGTCAAGCAATATGCCAGTGTCCAGGGAGCATCGTGTCCTCTATAAACTCCGGACTCTCTTTAACGTGCTGTACGCCAACTCCCGCGGACCTGTGAAGGCCTACGCGAAGCTCCCGCCTGAGTTCACCACATCAAGTGGTTTCAGAAAGTATCGCCCCCCTCGCTTTTCTTCAATTTCGCCATTGATGGAAGACTCACTATCAGCTTCTAAGCCCATGGGGTCGAATTGCTCCCGAGTCATCCGCTCACAGATATCGAGTACTCAGACAACATAGCTCTTCTTGGATCTGACTCGGTGGTAATGCGAACGATACTGAGTGATCTATATAATTCTGTCTCACAGTTTGACATGCGCTTCACACCTGCAAACTACAAAGTGCTGTTGCAAGACTGGGTAGCCTCCAACCCTGATCCCATGCTTTCGGATGACCCGATGGAGGTATTGGACAAATTTATCTACCTGGGCAGCTGTATCGATCCCGGTGGTCTCGCAACAGTTGATACTTCCATCCGGCCAGAGCAGCTTTCGTGAACTCGCGTCGCCTGCGGCGTCAAGCTTACAATGCTGCGGTGCGCTATATATTACTATACGGTTCAGGAACCTGGCCGCTGCGCGCCGAGAACATCAAGACTTTCAGTGTTTGACAATCGATGTTTTCGGAGCATTGCCCGAGTTTGGTAGGAAACCCGGAACAGCAATGCTGAAATACGTTGAATGGTTTTCGGAAAATCAACTCAATAACGATAAATGATCTGATCACATGCCATGTGTTGCTTGGTCATGTGCCCTGTACGCCAGTCTACCGAATTCCTCGAAGGGCTCTCTTCCCATAACTATGTGAAGGGTGGAAAGGAACCAGCAGAAGTAAAAAAATGACTTGGCAGCGAGGCCAGTTCCAGCAAGCCCGGCCGCGCTGGTCATTGCCGTCTCCGTGGATGGGAACCCCAAGGGAGGACAAATCAGTAGTTGGATACACTATCAGAAATGGTTCAGTCGCTTCCCCAGTCACACTCGTCCATCCTAGTTATTGCCTTCAATGCAAAGTGAGATGGCCCAAGTGGTAAGAGCGCGAATTTACTGACCGGAGGTCCGTGGTTCGAATCCCACCTCCGCTTCTCGACTTCGCCTGTCTAGGTTTGGGCAATCTGACAGTATCCCAGCCCTCGTGCTTCCTTCGGATGGCATGGCAGCTAGGCACCGGAAGAATGCTACAGCTGAACACTTTTAAAGCTTCTCTCCCAATCACCCAATTAAAAGTCCCGTGACACCTCTGTATTTATACGTCAATTGTATCATCTACCACCTCCAGCGCGCAGCTATCTATCCCATCTCCCCAAATCATCGATGAACGAAACAGTGGCAGGTATAACCACTGTACGGCAAGTACGTGATTCTTACAGCTGACAATGGTGATGGTGATAATGGCATAGAATGTTGATCCATGGAAGCCGTGAATACTTCTTGGTTGGTGATATAGTGTGTTCTCATTTGTTAACTATGTTGTTTTTATGTCAATGGGAACAAAGTTATTACCACTGTCGAATTCCGAAAAACCGTCTCGATGTGCCCACATTTTTTCTGTGTACTCTCCGTCAGCTGATGTTTGGGGTAACCTGGTTCGAGACCCTCGTCTTTCAACCCTTGTGTTTCGCCACGCGACACATATATATCAGTTCAATTTTGTCTGTTTTCGGTTACGTGGTCGTACGCTTTCCTACATGTAACTGGTTGATGCCATAGGTATATAATGCTGTTCTCAGTTTCGTGGTTAACGGCGGTTTAAGTGAGACACTCCCGACGTAACTCAAGCATCCCCTTCTATTACTGCTCATAAAACATATTTATTGTTTTTCTTCCTTTTTCTTAGGTGGTCAAAGCGTTGGTTCTGATGTACCCATTCACTACGGATTATCCGAAACAGCGGCACACGGCCAAATGGTTGAACGTCCGTCCATGGATCAGTCACCACTACCACATCCGATGTGAGCCACGTGTATTTACGGCACGTGCTCCGGATGATTTAGTTGCCTTCTACGGTCACGTGTTTGCTCGCGAGCGACCTAACCCGCTGTCGGATTTCTCTCGTCTTGCTCGTTACCTGACCGGTGAAGCAATCGGACTTGTTCTAGGTGGCGGTGGTGCTCGAGGATGTGCGCATATTGGCGTGATTCGAGCTTTTCAGGTAGGTGCTAGCGAAGCACAGGTGGTTCGTTTACTCGTGAGCTCACGTGCTTCATGAAATTTTCAGAAGTGGAACCGAAAATTGAATATCCCACCAAATCGCCGTTCATTTCATGGATTGATTATCTTTGACTCCCCGGACCATGCCTACTTCATGAGCCAAAAACAATGTGGATCCGGCCGTGGGCTGTCCCATAATACTACTTATGTCTTCCTGCGATGTGAACCCTCTTACATTGTGCGATATTGCCTGTATCCTCATTGATTGGCAGTAAATGCAACCCGGACTATGTATAAAACTCATTTTCACAGGATGGACATTGTCTTCCTGGTCGACGTACAGGAATATGCCTATCGTTTTTACAGGCGTCAACGTTAGAACCTATTACGCTTGATTGTTTTTTGTGGTTTCAGTTGGTTGTGGATCTCTTCAATCAGCTCAACTATTGGGTTGATGATATTTCGGAGAAAAATCTCCAGTACGCGCTTATTAACTTGCGAGATAGTCCTGCTTGTCGGTACAACTACGCTCCTGTCAGCGGCCTCAGCTTTCAATTTAACTAATCGACTACTACATATTCAGAAATAGGGATGTTGTTCTTTTGAACACATTGATTGAATACACGTGGTTCACTTATCATCTATAAATCGTAAGGTCAGAGAATTCCCAACCCAATTACTTATATATACCTTATTGGTCTTTTAAATAAACCTTGGCACATTTCTGGTATTTGGCCAGTTTGCCACTCATGTACTCGTCCGTCAAATTCACTGTTTTGAACGTAGACTTAATTGCTTAACAAATGTACCATCTTGTTTATCATGTGACCCAAATGAAGTCCTGGTACGATATCTCACGGTTCCATTCATTATCTCCGTCCACCGCTTCCTGCCATTCTCATATGCACTCTATCTGTTGGACATCCTGGCCGAATACATTTATGTTGGATGCGGGTTAGTATGAGTAGTGCGTTTACTGAATCCACACCTACCAAGAACTCCACAGATTTGGCTGTTTAACGAGATGCTTTTGTGTCCTCTCAGCCCTGGACATTGTTACCGAAGGCCACAATTCAGGAAAGTGTTCGGCATGGTGATTTTCTCAGGCTGTCAATAGTTTTCCTTTCCCGGTGTCGGATGCTTTGGCCTGGCCGGCGGTTTTCCGTCCAAAACAGTTGGCTAAACGGTTGCCCTAGACTGGAAACAACGAGCATGGTATTCAGTCCTACGTTCTTCGCCAAAATATTGCCTTCCAAACTATTCTCCAAATCCAAATACCTGCTTTACAGATTTTTTTCTACCCACGTAGCTAAAAAGCCACGTCGATAATGTCACTCCCTCGAAATGAAGATAATGTGGATCTGTCAGGACTATATGTATGTGTAGATGGTATCTGGTATCTGTGAATTTTGGTATTATAATAATCGTTCAGCTGTAATACCCTTTCGGTGCGTACCTGGCATGATAGCCGAGGGAAGCATGAGGAGTGAAATATTGTCATGTTGCTCAAGCCTAAATAGGAGCAGTCGAGATGCTGAGGTATGCTTCGAATACCGATCAATAAGCTCGTGCCTGAATTACAGCTCAAAACTTAGATAGGAGAGCGATTAAGGTCTTCATACAAAGCCTTTGGCTCAAAAGCCTAACTGCAAAGCAAAAGTGTTTGGTGGGAAGTTCTAGTGCACTGCATTTTTAGAGAACAACTCGCAACACATATTCCACTTGCCGCCCAACCCGGAGCAACAGGAGATAATGGTTGACCAGTTTGGTCGAGTGGGGATATCCAAGGCTGGACACGTTTTCGCATTAGAGGATGAGCTTGAACACAAGCTGGGCCAATAAAAGCACCAACCAGACAGTTCCTAACGATGTTCCATTATTTTACAACTAGCTGTGCGCATTCAACAAGCTTCCCTACAGTTTGTTTCGCACAAGTCGGATGATGAGCTTGAAGGGAGTGCATTTACCGCATGTTGACTGAAAACTTGACTGGATGCAGCCTAATCGGGCGCCTTGACCAATCCATGGTGACCAGTAGTGGGAACAACATTTACTTATCAACTGTGCGGAATTCACCCTTGATCGGTAGGTGCGGGCAACTACGATCTGAGACATTCACGGAATTGGCTCATCTTCTATACCTTAGTGAGGTGGTTCCGCGAATTGTGTCAACAGCCAGCGTTTTACCTAAGGCAGGTTGCTAGGCTCACTGCAGATGTCTGATTGGATCTAACCTGAGTAAGTCGGACAGGTAGTTTGTACATTTCACCAGACGGGGACTTCGAAAGAGGCTGCGTTGACGATTGATTATGACAGACACGAATGAGTGACGAACCGGTTAGTGTTACTGTGTCTATTTTTTGCCTTCGAGACCTAGCTGCTTCTGCACCTACAATCGAAATTTTCTTTTGTGTATGATTTTTTCTCACTACATTTACAGTTGTGCTCATGGCGACTGTGCCGTTTGAACGCCTCTTCCTTGCCGATATGTTTACGGTTGCTGAACACATTTTCACAGGTGGTGATGATGGTTCGACATGTTTTTGCCGCTTATCAATCCCAAATCGATGTTTTCCCGGTTAATCGCTGTACGGTACTGACGCCGACCAGAAGTTGCTCCACCTCTGTCGGCCAACCAATCGACAGCTTGCCATGTTTCATTCCTAAACTTTGTCAACGGTTGATTGTTAGAAAAGTGCACAATTTTTTGCAAACTTGTATGTGACTCTTTCTTAGTTGTCGGTTAAACTGATCAAACCAACTTGATAAACGCCACGAGCTTCGATGCATGTCGCAGCATACCCTCGGGTCACTTCGGAGTTTACTTGCTGGGAACATCGTTGAATCTGCTCTTCAAGTTTCAAACACCACTGAGCGCATATTTGTCACATACGCAGTACATTTTTCACTAACCGCTAGCGCAGCCTTGGCAGGATGATGATTGCTTCAGTGTATATGACAAGTACACCTATTGTTCCGTGTTACTTTCACAGGCGTTTGTCGCAGAATAACTAACTAACTTCTAGCAAACGCAGTCGCCCACGCAGGGTTACAGTCGTGACTAACAAATGTGCAATGACAAGCACTTACACTGAACTTCTTATGGAACACTGTCATACATTGTATTTCAGCAAAAACCTAAATGATCCGTCCGGTGTATATGACTTTCAGCTGCAGTGAATAGGGACGTTGTGATGCTTGCGGTGTTTCCTCCTTGATTATTTCATAGCAACTCCGCACTTTGGTTCCAGCTCCTCATGAAAGATAGACTCCCCTAGAGCAATTTGCAGAAGTAAAAGCCCCTTCCGTGAGATATAATATTATATAAGCTACCTGTTTGCGCATTTTCATCACGTAACTTCGTTTTCTCCAACTGCGGGCCCAGTAACTAACGTTGTCAACGCATGGTGACGTTCCGCCACTCAGACTTTGTTTCTTCTTGAGTACAATCCATTCTATTCCATTCATTCCTTAAATGAAATTATTCCGCCCATTTTTTGTCACAAAACTGATATATGGTATTAAGCACTCATTCATCCCCGGGGATCTCAAAAGTGGTCTGTACTCTGACGCAGGTGGTGACTATCTGAGTACTTATTTTGGGTATATCATTGATAGGTGAGCAACTTATTGTACCCTAGACCAGTAAACATAACTTTGTCCTTATACACCGATCTCTTGGTTACGATGCTTCCTGACAAAACGAGGGTTTCAAGTGGAAACCGCACCTAAAAATAGCCGTTGGAAAGCGAGGACTGTACGTAAAGATGACGTTGCTTGCTGTGATATGCTCCTATATAATCGCTGATTCTCTTCAACAAAACGCACTTCTCGGTTTCATCCTCCTGTGGTTGTGGTTCACCTTACCTAATCTCAGATTGCATCCTTCTGCCAAACATGCGCTCGCCAGTGGACAAACTATATTATGAGCTTTCTGACTTTAGTCAGCTCATTAGTGTTGCAAAGTTTATATCATACAAGTGAAAATACACAATCAAGGATAGCCTAACAATTCGAATAGTGTTCGTGACAAATCCCACCACCTAGATCCACGGCTTGCCTCCTAGTGCATTGTCCGGTTGAACATACAAACATAAAACATACCATGAAATTTAAGAATAGCAACGATCGCCAGCGATATTTTCCGTCGATCTGGTCACATTGTTTCCCTGGTTATGGTAAGACATGTGAAAATATCCCCGGCTCAAGGTTCAACTACAGTCCAGTCACTGTGTCATGTCGCAACACAATCTGTATCCCAGGTAAATAGATCTTATGGGGAGAGTCGCGTTATCACATGACATCTGATCGTGGTGGATACTTGATGGCAAATAAACCGCTTTCTATGCTGCAACTACTTTGTCACGTTGTTGACCTGATTAGTGGTCCAATGAACGTATGTGTAGTAACACCAATTAACACACAGCTTCCGTTAACAGTAGAAGACTGGTATCAACAGTGAGGGGATGTGTTACTTGCTTGTTACTCTAAAAAGCATGTGATTCGTGCTGTCGCTTGTGTAATCGAAAAAGACTGCTATCCTTGTGTTGTGTGCCTTCATTCTTGAGCTTTCGTCGACACGAAGCCTTGTCTTAATTGCGAATGTCTGGGAGGCTGATTCATCTGACGATAGCGTGATCCTGATCAGGTCACAGTTCATCCAGTCACACGCAATTCTTGCATGGTGCTATTAGGAAGGCTACTGGCAAGCGGTCTAAACAACTAAGATATTCCACTGTTTTCTATAGAGGAGAATGTCGGTAGCTCAGGTAGCGTAGATGGTCGTTGGCTTGTTCGATGAGCTGGGCAATTTGGTTGCAAACGTTTCATCACCAATCGAGGTGACATCATCAGTGCGTAGTTGTGTGTAGCGGTGGGTTAGTGGTTGTGCCCAGCTCAGCGAACAAGCCAATGACCACATTCCACTTTATTTCTCTTGTTCAAACAGTATTTCGCAATACATTGTTGTCCTTGATTTCTGTCGTTACTTCTCACATGGCGTTCATTGTATGCTTCATCCTGCTGTGAAGCCCTCCTTACATGTCGTGCCCATCTGATTTCAAAACAGCTGGGATCTAAACCGGTTTCAAAGGAGATTTTAAAAAAGCTTCATAAATCCCGTGACACTTTTAGTTTTGTATCTTAGTCCACCTACTGTGAAGTACTCTTAGAACACCGTAATCCACGTTCTACTGTATAAAAGTGTGACTTTGGAAGTTAATGATCCATCATGTTTGAAGCATGGCCCACTTTTCACTGATCCACTCACAGGAAGCTGGAATTCCGATCGATCTGGTCGGTGGGACCAGTATCGGGGCTTTCATGAGTGCATTGTGGGCGGAAGAAACGCGCTATGCTCAGTTCACACAACGTGCACGTGTCTTCACCACATGCTTTGCGTCTATTTGGAACAAAGTGAAGGATTTCACCTATCCTGCGGTGTCGATATTTTCAGGTATGTCGTGCTGTGTTGATGATCCACGTCTTGTTTTCGTTCGTGTTCATCAGTCTGATTTTGGTGCACCGATTTCAATGGAATCGCTCTAGCGCCGAAACAGAACCTACGCTTTTGACTTTTCTTATTTGTTTAAATTTATTTAGATTCGTCGTACTCAAATTAATTTCCTCTGAACAGCCCTGTGTACTTTTATCATTCATTTGTTTAGTCCATGTCAAAGAGGGACCAGTTGGCTCAGGATTCTGTTATTCGGGAGCTCGTTAGTATCGTTGGCCACACCAGTATTTACATTACGGTCGTTTAGCGTGCGGTGCAAGCGTGTTACTACGACTTCAGCGTCTGACTGAGAAGGCGTGGCAGAATCCATATATGAATTTTCACTAATAGTTATTTCTTGACCGCACACTCCATTCATGAATTCCATGGCCGATCTGGAAACAGCTCTAATATTCTTGTGATCCCTTTTTTTTAACTGAAATCTCTTCTGGAATGCTTTACACGGCGACATACCAAAAGCTGGTTTTTGGGCGGACATATCCAGATTATTCTAGTCGGCTTCAGTCTATCAATCAATCTATCATATCAAATAACCACTTGCAGTAAAGTGAGAAGCTACTTAACTTGCCTGGGCACGTGAACTGAAGCCTTCAGCTGCAGGTTCGCCTTAGTCCCTATTTAACCTCCGTACCAGTTACTCCTTTCCCACTTAAATCAATTCGAACTAACTCGTTACATACAGGGGCTTTCGGTTTACCGTGGCCTTGTCAACTGATAATTTTGAGGTGGACAAAATGAGATAGCTCAGTGGTTAAGGCGTGAACTTACTGACAGCGAGGACCGTTTTTCATATCCAACGTCAGCATCTCGACTTCTGCACAGGCTTCAACAACCTGGCAAAATCTTATCCCTCATGTTTCCTTCAGGTGCCATAACATCTAGGCACCAGAAGGTTGGTACACCTGGACGACTAGACAAAATGAGGAGTGGTTTTTGACTGGGAGATAAGATAATCATTCAGCTGTAACACCCTTTGGGTACCTATCTGCCATGCCACCGAAAGGGGCACAAAGGCTGTGATACTGTCAGGTTGCCCAAGCCTAGACAGGAGAAGTCGAAAGATAGTGGTCGGGTTCGAACCGCGGACCTTCCGGTCAGTAAATTCGCGCTCTAACCAGTTGAGCCACCCCGCCTTCTTTGACTTGGAACGAATGTGGCAGTCATCTTTCCTGTGGAACGTCATTTATCAACATCGATAATGTATTTTAGCTCGGTCGTAGTTTTATCTTCCCTTCCTTAATCTGCAACGCCTCTTTGTGTGACCCAGGAAAAGAGTTCAACGAACAGCTGAAATCTGTCTTCAAGGATCGTCAAGTTGAGGATTTGTGGATTCCATCGTTTTATGTGACGACGGATATAACCAACTGTCGGATGCGGGTTCATACTCATGGTAGGTTGGTGGTTCTTTCGCACGTTCTTGCTGTTCTATTCTCAGCACTGTTCTATTTCTCAGCACTAAAAAATCAGGCACCTGTACATGGTTGCCCCTTTTGGGTTGAAGTTCCGATTTATTTTGCGAAAAGCACGTTCGATCGGTTTTTTGATGTGATAGTTGCAGGTACAGTTATCTTCTCACTCTCCGCCTGATTTCTGATAATATATATATATATATATATCTGATAATCTCTTGTATTACTGAAGCTGTTTAACTCCACGCTAATATGATTATTTTCCAAATCACGCGGCAAATGAGCTCGTCTTACTTTAACAGGCATCCATCCTCTTGTTAAATCACCACTAACGGCCTACGACCCTGGTTTCTCACTTCCACCGTCATTGTACGAACTTGGGCAATCGAATTGTTTATTCATCCTCTAACACAGTTGTGGTTACTGATAAGTACTGCACTTGCGTAAGCGGTACATCCTAGTTCGGGTGCAGAGGTCTAGTAGGCCGCCTCACTCTGTACGACAATCGGATGTGTCTAGTAGAAGGTAATCTGATTGTGTTTTGTCTGGCTGCAACCAGTGTGAGGAACACATGGTATTACTGCGGTCTACACTTTCTACATATATTATTTGTGTCGTCACTGGATTAAGCCATTCGCTCTATATGCCTTCAAACTCATGTCATTCTCTGATGACCACAATCTGACTATGTCATGCCGAGTGCAGTTTTTCTCTCGTTTCTTAGAATGGTTAGGACGCAAATGTTTATTTGCCTTTTTCTTGGTTGATGATACGTGCACGGTCAGTAGATCTAATATAGAAATGCCAAACAGAAATGGTTGTCATCAGTGCGCTGTACTGGCCTGAGTTCGTGTGTTTCACTTTCCATGTCCCTGGGAGCCTTACAAACCATAGTTTGTGGCCTCTCTGCCCAAGTGATGAGCGCGCCGTCAACGTATACTTTATCCTGTCAGCTGAAGGCTGGATGTTGACTTGTCCTCAATATCACTGAACTTACATAGACGCCCCTTGTTCACTACTGACCAAGTCCAACCATATTTTTCTCCACAGTTGTATCGTATGGAAGTAGGAATAGTGATCACTGGATACTAGTTGTAATGGTTCGAGCTTTGAATGCAGAAAACATTCCACAGCCTACTGGTTTCGCTGGACTGACAGGTCTAATAAACCGCCTATCTTTGAGATGCAACTCATCATTGTGTTCTGTTTGTTTGCTATGCGTCAACATTGCTACTGTTTTTAGTATTTGTGCGGTAGTGTAATAATTCATACAACAGGAGATAGGTGCGTGTGGTGCATCACGTGTTGACCGATATTTCTTGCGAGAGGTGCTTGTGTGTGGTAGTGTACATAAACTTAGAAACGTAGCCATGATACAGTAAAACTTGGTTTGAGAATCAACTCAAGGGAAGTTATGTGCAATACTCGTAGTTGTTTTGTTGCGTTCTGAATCAACGACTCATTGCATTAGCTATGATTGCTGAATTTTACGCCGCAATAAGTGTTTTCATATTACGCTTCTTCACAGGCCATTGCCATTTCACTTGATTCCCCTGTGTTCACACAAGCTAATCGGTAGACTCACCGTTTTTCCTTTTTTTTCTTCGACATTTCAGGGTCCCTTTGGCGCTATGTGCGTGCTAGTATGTCTCTGTCTGGCTATTTACCACCTTTGTGTGATCCTTACGACGGCTGTTTGCTGCTGGACGGTGGATACACAAACAATGTGCCCGGTATGTAACGCGTGGTGTTTATTTCCCACTAGGTAGAGGTCATGGAATAATGAGTTCTCCATTTATTGTGCATAGTTTCATTGCCGCTGCTTCCACATCAGTTATTTTCAACAAGGTAATCTGGCATATTCCATTAATTGGCATTCGACTTAGGTGTTTACGATCAGACAAATCAGGTGTCAAGTGGGATATGAATTATTCATTCACTGTTCACGGAATACAGGTTGCCCAGTCTCCATTGTTGTGTTTATTAAGGTCCAAATGCACTTTTCACTCGCTATGAACACAGTGTGGAATGTATGCTCAGCCAATACAGTCGACCGGCATGCAGGCCTCAGTAGGTTTGCAAGCTGAGCATCGTTTCTGGAGTCCTTAGGTGCAGTTGTGGTGTACGAATATAGGTGACAAAAACGAAGTGGTACGCGGCCGTTGCTCTGAGCTCTGTACATCCTTGCCTGATACAATTAGCAAACTAGCTGGACAACAGATACCACCTTTTTCCAATATGATAGTCCTTGCGTCACCCCCAGAATAATTGCTACATTGCTGTGAAAAACACAGAGACGGTTTCAGAAATGCCTCATTCGCAATTTTACAGCCGCCGTTGGAATTACGCATCCAGTACTATATTCCCGACCTACACGCAGTTTGGTCTGTTCGCCAGCCTGTGGATCGGGTCAAAAAATGTGCTCGTTGAACCGAGTGCTTGACGATTGATATCTGTAGTAACGATGGTCGCGATGGTGGACACTTTTCTTGTCATGATCTTCGGGTGGTATCTGAACTTGAGGTACTAGATTACCACTTTTTTATTAGAATAACTAACAGTTCCGCTACTGTGAACATTAAACCATATCTGTATTGTTTATAGAAAAGTGAGGCTAATTTCATTTGCGATCTTTAAGCATGTTGGTATCGACAAGACGATACGTTTACATTTTATCCTTCTTTCAAGCTGACCAATAGAAATCTCTCAGATACAGGGTTAGCGCCTTCATCAGTGAACCGGGTGAGTACTGCGGTAAGCACATTACCCAAAGGAATACATACGAAAAGCAAAAGGTAGTAATAAAATTTATCTAGCACCTTGTAGCTAGATTCAGGTTTCTTCATTCTTACTACTCAAAGTCCCATAGCCAGACCTTTTTGTCATTTCGTTGACACAGTTGCTGACATCCTTTCATGCCTGCTTATGTCTAAACACCTGCCCAAGCTTTAACTTCCGGAAACTATGGCGAAGCGTCATGTTGACCATCATCTACGCGCGACTAGTGTTGCCCCTGGGCTTTTGAAACATTTTATTCTACTCGTCGACGAAGTGAAATTCACACACTTGCGCAAACATATCAACCGCAGCAACGTAACATGTACCCTACAGTTGAACATACAACATGCTGTTGAAAGCATAAAGTTCCAAAATAGAGGAAGAACGGTTTGGCCATCTGTAGCCTTGGTGTCCTGGACCGTTGCAGTCAGGTATTTTTTAGTACAATGCTCGTGTCCAAGGTGGTAAAGTGCCTAACTATTCAGGATTTCGAACTTCCGATTTCACTATGCATGTCCGTTTGTGTTCCACACGTTAACGGCTGATGACCGCGTAAATACCGGTTTTCAAGATCCCTGGGAACTTTATTCCTCATGCGATTATTTAGCTTCGTGGAGGAGATGAAATGTTCTGTAATTTGATGACCCATTCTCCTGCTGTTCGTAAGTGCTGTTTGACAGTTTGCTTCCTCTGCAAATTCGCTCGCTATTGACTGACCTGTCCCGATTTCTGACCTATTTTCATTCGTGTGCTGTACCTTTTCTTTCATACTTTAGCTTGGACAGGGTCCACCCATACGCTAAACTTGTAGAAGACGATTGGCGGTTTTTTTACGACAGAATGTCGGTCGCAATTGCTAAAGCGAATGAAAACTATTTCACTAGTCTTTTGGCGAGAATCACGAGCTACTGTGCTTAAATACCCTTTCAGGGCATAGTATGGCAGGTATAACATGGAGACACATGCTCGATCAGTGCGTTTCCGCGTTTATTATTTACTATGAATGGTCTTCGATGTCTTTTGTACGTTGGATTGCTCCTTAGTCAGGTTGTCAGCCTCAGTGACATTGAGCACTTTATTCGTTAAACGAAGGACCTATGAATATGATCACCTGTGACTACTTAGAAACCTGTGAGTGTTCTGTTATCTCCGGCCTCATTCGGCATATCAACTTTCGCTATGGTAGGAGAAGCTAGCCTCCTACAAGTTACTTATTTGTCTTTCTGACGACTGTAGCTTATCTGTGGTTTGTGTTTTCTTTTTCTTTTGTTTAGTGATCACTTAATTTGAGGATGTTTCAGGGATACCATACTTAAAACCAAGCCTGAACATGGAACCGCATACCACCATTCGAAATCGGCTGTACTTCAGTGAACAATGCACCTGCATTGGTCTGCTAAAATCGACTCTTGATCTAAGCTAAGTGACTCTTCTGAAGACTGTTGTGGTCGCAACTGCGCCTAATGCTTATATGGTGCTGAGAACAGCATTTTTAATTGTCAACTTGAAGTTTACAGCTCCAACTAGGGTTAGAGATGTTCGTTCATTAGTTAACTGCTTGCCTCTGACTTTCGGCTACAATCGCCGGTACATGAACACATCACCATATGATTGTCCTACATTTGTGAGAGTTCACTCCTTTAGGATTAAACGGACCAACTTGCAGTTCTGACGGTCTACTCGCATCGAATGCGATGAAAAAAGATCACTTTGTACGGAGCAAAATAGTTCCATCAGGGTGCAGACGCCCAGTCTGGTGAAAGGTGAAATGCATCAGTCGGATTGAAGCAACAGAACTACTGAGATGAGCCATTCAATTAACCAACCAGATGTTAGGTAAGCAGGTCACGAAGCGGCACGAGTCTCAAAATGATTAATTGAATCAACTGTCAGATAATCCTCATACAACCACTCACTTTGTGGGTATTAACTACGCAGTAGCAATTATATAAATGCAAGCGGAAGTCGAGAAATCACTCACCTACTCATTGTGGAGAAACATTCGCGCCAGTTACCAGACTCGACAAACAGACCAACCTCCACCTGTCCAACAGCTAACCATAGGTTGGTTAAACTGACGTGTTGTTTTACTGATATCCAGAACATAACACAGTAACGTAAGCTAACTAGGGTCGAAAACACTACCCCCGTTTATACTCACACACCTGTAGGAGCCTGAGCGTGTATGTGGAGCTCTCCAAATACTTTCCTACAAACAGTGGTGTCCGACAAGGATGTCCACTCCCTACATCTTTGTTTAATCCCGTCATTGATGAGGTAATGAGGCGGACATTGGGAGGTCTACATAACTCCGATGTTCAGGTCTTCCCGAGTGAGAACCTTGGAAGCCTGGAGTATGCAGACCATATCGCTCTAATTTTTCAGAAAACAGGAAGTCAGACATTACTGACGAAGGTCGTCCGGTCCTTCGACATGCTATTCGTGCCCTCAAAGTAAAAATTCATACTGCTGGACGTGCGATCTTAGAATATGACTCTGAGAGAGCCATTCGAAGTCACGGAAAATCATACGTATTTCAGAAGCTGCATTGGGTCTGACACTAGTGTGATAGACCAAGTCAGCTCACAAAACTCTTGGGCCGGAATCGCGTTTGCCGATTTGTGACACTTGTGACACCAAAAAGGCATGTGCCAAACCGCAATGTACGGCTGCGAAAATTGGTCACTTCAGGCGGGAATATGACCGCTGTCTCAGAACTATTTATGGGGCGGCTGGAAACAGCGAATTCGCAGAGGTGAGGAAACATGTCTTTGTTGTAGCAGGTGGGATGCGCCGTGTGTTACATATGTTGAGTTACCGCCTGGCAAGAAGAGGGCTTTTCCGTGCCCTATTTGCAGTTGCGGAAACCTAGAGGTGGATAGAATTTGTTATGGCGTAAGGGGATGAAAGATGTTACGATGCTGCTCGCCTTGCAGGACAGGGTCCACATGACTCTCCTTGTGCTTGCCTGGAGACTTTGGGTGGCATGGCGACTAACTGATATCTGTCGTCAGTGTGCCGTCAGTTTGCATCCCAAATGTCCTTGTGGATTATTAAATTCAGAAACTGGTCATACCATTGGTTACAGACCCGAACGAACACGTTCTGTTTGTATACCCAGTGTTGTCCAATGTTCCAGGTATTACCACCACTCCATATCTCCTTCTCACTTACCATTCTACTGGTAACAAAATGTGTCCGCAACCTGTACGCCATCGTGATTTGACACAAAGTTCATAGCCTCGAGCTGTAGCCTCCAACATTTAGTACTCTGCTCCCCGTTCACTGTCCGTGGACGAACAAAATGGTGACAACTTGAACCACCGTACGGATTAGACAGTCTATAGGTGATGACCCAGATGACATAACATGGTCTTTTAGTTGTGTACAATCGCTGATACTGCATCATGATATTTTTCACCTCGCCTAGTGCACCATTCACCTCGTGAAAAACTTGCATCATTTCTCGGGGTCCTTGTCATCAAGTAATATATTCTACCTACGAATCCAGACTTTTGTGTGCATGAAGAAGTATTCACTTACTCTGACATTAAAAGGTGTTCCTCTCTACACGTTGGCTTTTTACTTTCTTTTGTTTCCCCCATTCAGCCGATACTATGTCTGCCTTCGGTGCAAAGACCATCTTTGCCGTCGATGTGGGTGCTACCGTTGATACAGACTTCAGCAACTACGGTGATCATTTATCAGGCTGGCGACTGCTCTACAACCGCTTCTTCGGAACGAACAAATCACTGTTGCGTGTTAGTTTCATTAAGCTACAATGCATACATTTCAGCGATTCTGCCGCGCCATTTAACTTCCCGATGGATTCTTCCTCACACATGACCATAGTTTGTGTATTTTTCTCTAGGAGTGTTGATTTTTGGTTATCCTATCACGAGCTAATTTGGAAGAATGGAGTTGAGTTGAGTTTCTGAGAGTCAGTTTTTAAATTCCTTTTAACTCCAATGTCGACTATTCGTCTGCTGTTTGAGCGTAGCTAATAACTACCCGAAGGAGAAGACAGTGCATGTATACATTGACAGTCTCCTGCACTTACCGAATGGCGGCCAATAGTCCCAGTCAAAGCATATTTGACAAAATATTTATCAAAAACCTCGTCCACGCGGAATGTACTGTTGTGATACGGTCCGTTTTCCAGGATGACGACCCATTAACCCTTCCTTTCCTTCAACATATGGCACCTGATCAATATCAGTGTCGTTCGCACTGTCAGTTCCATTCTTGATTTTCTGACTGAGCGGACACCTCAGATTGCTTGTAATAGGCCTGAATCAGGTCCCTTTCACCATTTTTCCCTTTCATTCTAAGGCTTTAAGGATAATTAGTTAACTTGGCGAAATACGCTCATTTGCAAACAAATTTGGTTTTGCGATAGACTCACCTGGGACCCAGCTGAATCTCGTGTATGATGTATTTCGCCAATTCTGTGCAATTTGGTTTCAAGTAACATATAAGGTTGACGGAACTCGGGGACCGCGTCTCTCTGATGAATTTCAAGGCGAAACCGGTCGCAGACTATCGCAAAATTTTCGGCAACCTTATGAGTAGTGTATAATTAGATAAACTTTGTGGCTGCATGGTAATGAAGCATTAGTGCCAACAGTGATGTTGCTTTCTTGGATGATGGCGCTTCGCGGCTCGCTAACTTCTGAACCCTGCCGTTAGGCTAACATGGAGGGTCTATGTAGCGTGTATCAGACTCCTGAACGAAATAACTTCTAGGGCCTTTTGACGATATCCACCAAGTAGTGCACTTGTGGCCTTCACATGGCCTTTTGGACGGTGAAAATAAAAAATCACCTAACGGCCGTTAGACTGGTCATTCTTCGAGTTGCCCAACGCGTGAACCTATCAGGGGCATGAAGTTCTTAGATGCGATCGACTATTTCAATCCACCTTTTGAAGTAGAATGGCATTGTAGTGCAATCCGTTCACTACTCGACCGGTAACAAATGACTTTATTTTTGCTTACAATGGTCGCATGTGTACATCTTTTAGACAGTGATGTTCTCGGCAGTTTTTCCAAGTCATCTGCTATTAAGAGGTCGACTTGTTAGTTTATCAGTGTTGTTCCTTGTTGATTTATCAATTGCGACCGAATGACGTTTCTAGTAACTTGTGCGCTGTAACACTTGCATTTCGAGATTCTGACTAGTTTAGTGAGTCATCAATCTATCTTTGCTTATTGTTTGAGTGTGCCCCTACTCTATATGTTGTTTTTTGTCGTACAATGTGAGTTTTTTCTCCTTCACCGTAAAACAGGTTCCAAATCTATCTGAAATTCAAGCTCGCCTAGCCTACATTTCCTGCGTTCGACAACTAGAGCACGTCAAAGCCAGTGGTATTTGTCGCTATCTTCGCCCGCCAATCGACCACTATATGACACTGCAATTCACCGCTTTTGAGGAGATTCTGGTGAGTTTCCACAATGCACTGTGTTCTGTTTTAGCTCGCTGCTCTATGACTCCAAGTTTGATGATGGTTACATATTTGCGTGGCTCTTATCGACCCGTTGTGTGATTAACAGGCATGGACTCTAGAACTAAATTTGCCTAACCTAAATCAGGGTGAAGTGTACCGTGGGTTTTAGGCTGACACCAAAAATGTATGAGCACTGTGCAAAAGACCGCTCAGTTCCATCAATCGAGACTGATTTCTGTTGACTTTCCATGACTTCTTCGTTCCATATACTACAAACTGAAGTCTCGTATCTTTCATTAACGCATAATCACTTCGAAAATGACATTTCTAGCATACACTTCCGGTGTATTAGTGGGTAGAGTGCGAAAAGTCCGTGGTTCGAACCGACCTCTGCCTCTGTACTTCACCTGTTTAGGCTTGGGCAACCTGGCGGTATCCCAGCCCTCTCGTGCTTCCTAGTGGCATAGCTTATTGATTCTTCGTACCGAGTCTCCTGCATTAGATGCGCGTGCGATCAAACCGCTTGGCCGTTTGCGATTTAGTCTTGGATGCCTAACGCAAAAATCCTGTTCCCGGAGAGTAAAACTGGAAACTTTGGATTAGTTTGTCTGCATAATCGACGTTATTCTTGAAAGAACTTGACGTTCTGAGATCAACTTACTTCTCCGGTCAGTCGATATCTGCTGATGGTTTATCCTCGACTCCGATTAACTCATATGGATCTTTGCTCTGTAGGCTTCGTATACATTAGTATTTGCAACCGACCAATCGTTTAGCGGTTGCCGCACCTAATTCTTTTTGGGAAAGTGTTAATCACAGTATATTCGTTCACACAGGTTCAGCTTTTCTCATTTAGCCTACCAGCTGTAGAACCAAGCAATAGTTCATTAGAGCTTAACAGATATCACGTGACGAACCTTGCTGAAAGCCCCCACACAACGCATAGCTTCCTCTTTGTTTTATGATCGTGAGATGGTCACGTTGAAGATTGTAAACGGAGTTTCTGTGATATACAGCGACATTCATGGTGTTAAAGGATTCTTTTGCGTGTATTCCTGATTCCGTTAGTAAGACAACCATCGGTGAGCGAAGGATACAGCCACAACTAGGGTTGAAAATTGCCATTTTCTGAGTAAACCATAAATCTTTCCACTCACGGCAAGGCGGCTTTGAGCACAACGCATGGCTTACACCTGGTGACTAGTTCATTTTTATCAACTGAACTCTCGAGGTCGTTAGTTTATGGACTTCGTCTGTCACTCGATCGTCTATACGAACAAATGTCCTAGAACAAGTGGCTTATGGCGCGGCAGTCTGATACTGCTCATTCTAGTTTCATTTTAAAGAATTTTTCTCAAAACTGCAGATTCGGCTCTTCAACCTATTATCACTGTCCACCACTTAGTTAGTAATACATTTCTGTGCATAATTCAAATAAAGATCTCATTTTAGTCATCCTTGTTGTATATACAGAGTGGTGTAAAAACTGCGGGCACATCTAGGACTCGTAACGGCTCAGCTATTAAGAGGTCCTCTTCGTTTTTTTTGCTTTGCTGCTTTTACCTCTTCGATTTCGTCCGCCTCTGCGTATGAGATGGTGTCCCTTTCACCTGCGGCTTCTTTAACCACCTTTCTCCCATCTTCGGCACAAGAACATTGTACTGACAATACTGCTTTGTTGCCATGGTAATCGTCAGGGAATTCCACTACAAACACCACGCTATTGTCGGTTCTGACCACAGTCACCTACTCGGGAGCGGAACAGTGGTTTGTATTGACTGGACTGCGCGGACATAAGTAATACTGAATAACCCACGAGCGTGTCACATAAGATCTACAGAGAATGCACTTTCCACCAGATGAAAGAACGCACCAAACTCACACCTCCAGCCAACTGAGGTAAATGTGTCGTTTTACAGATAAGGAATGTGGAGCACCCAGCTGACGAAAATAGCCGATCAATGGTCTAGGAACTAAACACCATTCTCCCCTTTCGAGCGCGAACATAATGGTCAACGGACAAAACAAGACATTCTGACAACAGATTGCTGGTCAATAAAGATAGTTGGGATTACCTTTAAGACTTCTGGTTATGTTGAAGAGAATGTGAAAGGTGATTTGCATTCTGTAAAGCATTGGGATTCTTTAGCTAAGTATGCTGGCCCACAGCTGGTGGTAAGCACCTTCCAAGAGCTACTTGACAGTGGGTGGCTCATACCGGAAAGCAAACCAACTTAATCACTGGTCTTGGGGTTTCTTTCGGTATCAAATGTCCCCAAAATAGATGTTGATCCTTCCTTGTTTGTGGACCTTTATCAATATTTCATTTCGGCTTTTGTACATGCAAGTTGGGATCGAGTTTCCGAATGTTCCTCACGCTTTCCGCATTTAGACGTACACAAATGATGTTATGATGGCTGATTCAGCCATTACTACTCAGATTTTGTTTATTTCTAGACCGTTGGATACGAATATGCCAAGCAAGTCATCCTCGAGTGGCACAAAGATGATATCTTGAGGCAACTTGTACCAGGGCTACGACCGAACCTAACGTTCGACCAATTAAGTCCGAAACTGTCGCCCGTACAGACCCCGCACCGACTCAGTGATGTTCCAAGGACGGTGAGCAACTGGCTCACACAGGTTAGTTTCCTGTTCATTGAATAAGTGTGTCAACGTAATTTCTACCACTCTCTTCCTTCTAACCAAGACGTGATTTGATGTTCTTTGAATTTACAAAGGCAAGTGAGTTTTGTGGACTTTGGTAATAGATGGTTCCGAATTTTTGTTCTCCTGTCTCGGTTTGTCGAAGTCAGTAGTACATGTCGATCCGGAAAGTGGTTAACGCTGACTCTCAGAAGTGCTCAATCTGCGCGACTGTTACTCATTAGCATTAACTTTTCGAGTGGGCTATAAACCTGTACGGTTTTAGCTTTAAAGCAGACTTTGTTGCAGGCTACCAGTAGTACTCGTTTAAAGACAGCCTCTCTGATTCAGGTGATGGTTTTATCGTCGAAGTGGATCGACTGGGTTAAAGCCAGTCATTTCGCTCAGAAAATGTCTTCCATTCCGTGCCTAGCTCCGTGCAGGTTGGAGACAAATCCAATCGTTGATATCATTATCGGATATTCTAAGCTTAGCCAGTACCTCTTCTAGTGAGCGGTGTGGTCAAGAAGATGGACGGCGAATGTTAATCTGTTAGGTGTAACCAAGACAACCTATATCTATGCCAGCCACTCTACGCAAATGCTCGTTTATCGATGTGATATACTAGTGAGTGAAAACTATACAGGGAGTGAGTTGACATTCCTCGCCTATCATTATTATCCTTCAGTTCTATCTTGTTTTAACGAGTGCTTATTCCATTGCATGTTATAATTCCGAGAAAGTTGGGGGGATATCAGTTAAAACATGATCTTGTCTAGGCGACAGCACCAACCAGCTTAAAACGCAATGACTGTTGTTACCCAAATCCCTTACTGCACTTATGAGATGAAGCCGAACTGGCTGTGGATGTTCAGTCTCATTTGCCTGTTGTGATCTCCTAGAAGCAAAGTTTTTATGCAGTCTATAGGGATATTGTTCCCCAAAGACGATCTCCAAAGTCAGAATGTCTCACCCCCGGCTTCTCTAACATGCCATGGAATCCATGTGGTTTACGGTGATACGTAATCCACTACTCACTGGGTTGCTGAAAAGATGCCTCCAGTTGCCTTTGCTCCGCTGGCGAATGGAGTAGGCGGAGCTGAACCACCTACTTCTTGCCTATCGTGGATCTTACGTTCCCACGTTTTGTTCCATCAAGACTTAATCGCCGAATCGTACGTAGTGGTTAGCCCGCCACCTATGGTATTTGTATGGTCTCTAAGGGACAAATGGGCTACTCGTATTTTGTAATTATGCTTTAATTCCAAACTATTTTCTGAAAATAAGTAGCAAGCGCTTAGAACTAATCTGGGGATTATTGCCTCTGTGTTCACTCGTCTCTTCCATTATTACGTACAAATCAAAGTAACTGGAAGAGTTGTTACATATGCACATGTTTCTATTAACGAATAGCCTCTGTTCGGCGAACGACACTTTATTTCATAGATGTGACGTACTAATTGTGAGGTTACTGAAAACTCTTTGACGGCCGACGACCTGTTTCGCTCTTCTTGGGACTCTTCAGATAGGCATATTCCCCGAGTTTCCCTCAAACTTATGTTTCAAGTGAACCCAAGTTGCACGATTTCAATTTCGCATGCAAGCTTGGTGTTCACCAGTGCATCAAATTCAGTTGATGAAGAACATCATAAACGATAGATTCAGCCAGGTTACTGATTAATCTCCCTTGAAAACCAGATCAGTATGCAAATGAGTGTATTTGTCAAACACTATTTCCTTTACGCTATCGGTTCGAGTCACTTCCATACGTATACAAATTCTGAATTTTGGATTAACAGTGTAGATGACCAACTAGTTGACTATTGTTGTGGTCTACGAATTGGGCTCACCTCCTCAAATTGACCTCCCGAGAATAAAACATTCTCAGCGAGATATTGTGGTTTTCGATTGGCATTCTATACACGATGATTCGCAAAATCTGGGTTGTCCCGAAAAGTACTATCGAGTTAACTTTTTTGATGCCACTGTATTTCAGTCTTCCATAGATTCATTCGCTTACTTGTCGGTGAGTATAGCAAATCCGAACAACAAAGCCGCGTGTGTTCTAACTTGTTTATTTCGCGCTCTGTACCACTAGACAGTTCATGCCAGTGCTGTTATTTTTTTGCAACCACGCCAGCCATTAACCATAAACTGACTGTTTATGTTGTTGCGCGTTTTTTTTCGCTCAGATATTTACTTCGGGAACCAACTTTCTTGCATGCTCTTTTGGAGAGGGATAAGAGTAACACAAAGTAACCGCTTGACCCGTCCCACCTGATAGTTTTTACGCTGTGCAATTTTTTACAGATCCAACCAAATTAGGAAGAAAGTTACACACCTTACGAACTATGTTGTGCTTCAGTTCATAGTCACAGCTATTTTCACCCGAAAAAAACGCAGAGTTTACATTCGAGATGCGTTTCCAGACGAATTCCAAACAAGGCGAAACCGGCATTGGGCTGTCTGCTGACTTTGAGCGATCGCCTTCAATTGCCTTGTTCATAAATCGCAATATCACGCTAGAGTCTTCGTGACGGCAAAAAAGGGCTAATCATGAAGGATTGGCTCTGGTGTACTGACATTCAGACCGGTCGGTAGACGGTTCGTTATGCAGTGGTTGCTTTTTGCTTTCGCGCTTGAAGGAGGCGCTTGGACGCAGTTCAGATCATTCTTACTAGCCATTGCTTATCTATGCAAGTTATTGTTGCGAGATCTAGATTTGTTTTACTTTGGGCATTTGAAGACAGATAAATGTGTCTGAGCAATCATTTTGTTGGGCGTGAAATGCAAGAAGAGTCTTCTTCAAGGAGTTAATCAATATTTTTTTGCCTGAAAGCCTCATTTTCAGTTAAATTGGATCTGACTATGTTGGTCGGTTTTCCTCAACAACATGTTTTAAGGACAAGGAATCATCGCGCTTCTGCGAGATGCTTTTCGACTCCAGAGTGGATTATGGCTTATCTATTCCGAATTGAAAGCTTGTAACGTCTGCATTGTAGGGCCGTTCTGTGACGAAACATTAGGTGGTTGATTACATTGTAGTTTTCTTCATATGTTACAATGAGGGCAAAAAAAATCACCATCCTTCATGCTGTTCAGGGGAGAATCACTCTACCTTAAGCTTTACATACTGCCAAAGAAAATTTGAAAGTTATTCTAGGGAGCATTTCGTGCACAAAAGTTGCTGTGGCCATATTTTTAGGACAGAGCTCTTCCCCCTAAGAACCTGTTGTTTTTAGTACCTGTTTTCGTTTTGCTTTTTTCCGCCATTCGATCTGTTTAGAGTACAACAAAATTTTCACTTTGTCTGTGGAGCGGTTACGTCCATTTTCGCCGCGACGCTTCTATGCGAGACGCTTTAGCCCCAACGCTTAGTCCTTCAAGCAATTTCGGTCAGTATTGATTGTCTTCACTGCGGATCTGAAAGTTCCCCTGCCATTCCCTTCTTCCAGCCATTCGATGACCAGCGGGGCTTTGTAGACTTGGCCGAAACTGTTGGTGCTTCTGCAGACCACCGGTCGCAGGATACGGTCGATTCAAGTACGTGCTGTTCTATAAACTTATCGCTAATACTCTATCCAAGTCAGTGTGGATCTTACGTCTTTCGTTTACTAGTGCTAATTTTAGGTCACTGTATTTCTACTAAAAATGGAATGCTCTAAGTGTTCGGTGTACTCAATCACTCAAAAACGTTTTTCGACTTGGCTTCCGGTTCAGACTATACAACTCTGCTACCACTGTTTTCATGCTACATCATTAAATATAGGGAAGTTAGCTTACTCCACTGCTGTGCTATTGTAAGCATCCCAGGCAGAGTAGTATAATCCTTGGCAAGAGTTGAGCAGTCGTGTTCTAAAATACCAAGCATTTAAATGGAGCTATAAGCGCTCTTTTGAGACTCGACTACTCTAAACCAGGTCAGTTGGCCTCTGGATACTTAAGGTTTGCGACGTAGAGAAGCACGATAGACTTCATGTTAGCACATTCGCATAGCTACGCGTGACGTCGAACATCCTTCACAATCCCCACACCGTATTTCATAGATGTATTCGGTGTTATCAGTCCATGGTTTGAGATCTTTTGGGTTCACTAAACCCCATCTGCAGTGTTGCTGAGTCGAAACACTGTGTCTGTTAGATTTCGCTGGGATCATGCGTTTCAAATATATCTTCTCTAAACTGCATCTCCATAATCGTTCTTATATTCGCGTTTGGTCTGGTGTTATTTTACCCGCTTCTGCCTTTCACCATACTACCTGGTGGGCAAAACACCGGTGCCAATGAAACATGATGTGAAGGGTTCGAAGCCCAATACATTGGCGAAGCTGGTGGAAAACTGCGTGCACAAATAGCTGAACTCAAAAGACAAGCAAAATTTCCATCCCAGAATGCTACTGAGCTCCATAAAATGAAAACAGACTCACTGGTTTCGTTTCGTGCCTTGGCTGAGAGCCAAAACCTACTCCTCGTTCCAGCTCAAATGCTCGATGGAATCCTGCCAACAATTCATGTTCCATCCACGTGTCACCGAAATCGGTGGCTAACGATTGTATGCTGAGTTAACAGCGCCGACTGGCAGTAAAGTATGGGGGAGATGGCTGTCTCTAGAGTGCGAATTTATTTATCGGAAAGTCCATGGTTCGAACCCGACCTCCGCCTCTCGACTTCCCCTCTATAGGCTTGAGCAGCTAGGCAGTGTCCCACCCTACGTGCTTCCTCATTCTGGTTTCGGTCAAATATATGGTACTCACGGGCTCAACATAAATTGTGTCCATAAACGAACTTGACTGGGGGCCATTGATTTCTCCAATGTAGACACCAGCTGATACGTTTCTACTGCCTATATAGTTTGGGTTTTTTGCTCCTGTTGAGGATCGTCAGTTGCGAATGACACCTTTATCCCCAAAAGGTATTCTTTACGAAATACTACACTAAATCATCTGTACATCCTAATCGGTCTTACTCCCCACTACATATACCATATTTTGATGCAATATCTCTTACTCGAGTTCGTCAAATGTGTCACCCCTCAGGCAATAGAAAAAGTGGTAGGGTCTGACGCTTTTGGAGGTTCACCCGTTCGTTTGACGAAACAGGAAGGTAATAAGTAGCGTGGTCATACATCGATTTTTCAGCTACTGTTCCGTGACTGAAACGCTTTAGTCATTCGTCTTTTCACCCGAGGTTCCAATTTTTCCAGTTTTCATTTTATTGGGACATTTGCTCAATTATCGCTTGACTTAAAGCCAAAGGTTTTGGCTGCACGATTTACTGCTGATACCAGTGCATTTCGTTCTCGGGCTGTTTGCTTATTACTGCACACGCTTTGGTTCTTTCAGGCTCGGTTTCTGATACAGTCGACTACCTAAAGGACGGTACTGAGCGCTCACGTGGGAATCGTAGGTACGGTAGTGTTGCTGACTTGTTCGGCCGCCACATTCCCCCATTCTTGTCTGGTCATGCGAACCCCGTGGATTCTTTGTCCCGCACATTTCGGGACTATTTCCATTCGGCCAAGCATTTGGTTTCACGTACGTTCCCTGACACAGGGCTGTTTCGCCGTCGTGCACTAAGCGATAATCTATGCATGCCGAGTGATTCCAGTGTGCTCGACTCGTCGGACGACCCGGGCCACTTTTCCGATGCGCACGACTATCCTGGCCAGGATAATCAGTTCTCATCGAAACGGAACACAGCTGCCTACCTGCACAGAACTAGCTCTCACAGTGCCCCTGGCCATCAGCTGAACTCATCAAACAATTTCTTGATGCATTCTACCGTGAATGAGTCCACCGACCATGACTTTCATCCCGGACAACATGCTCCTGCTGATGGTAGTTCGAATCTCGCCAACATGGTTGTTTCTGCGGATGATCCCGGTTACCTTGAAGATAGTGAAGGCAACGATGACATGCCGCTCCAGTACTCCGATCCAGAATTTCAGTGTCGCCTGCCACGTGTATCAGGAAGATCAACATCGCACAGACTACGTCGACGTTCTTCTCTGAATCGCGTAAGTCTGCGACTTCCTGGTCAGTCACAAGAATCGCACCATATTCCTAAAATCCAATGGGCTGCCCCCCGGGAGATGCCACCTGTGTGGTTAGAAATGGAAGTACTCTATGTGGAGTTTTTTTTACATCCAACAGACGTTTATTGTTTTAACTTAAGTAGGTCGTACATTCCAGTAGTCCCGAATAGCGGATCCTCATCAGAAGGACAGATTGCTGACACCTTATGATTCTGTTTTCCCTCATTCGCTGTGATTAATGAATCTTATCAACGTGATCATTTTGTCCACTCTCTCACCAGTGTGCTCTACTTAGGTGGATAAACATCCAACTATATATAT